GATCTTTTCCCCAGATAACCGTGATCGCGCTTGCAGGCTGCGTGGCAGCCGCCCCCGCAGAGGAGGTGATACCGATCGTGGCCCAAAGCCAGGAGGGCCCGAACCCAGACGGCTCGTACAAATGGAGCTACGAATCCGGAAACGGGATCAAGGCGCAAGAGGAGGGCCACTTGGAGAACGCTGGCCAAGAGAACGAGGCGATGAACGCGCAGGGAAGCTTCAGTTATCCCAGTGACGACGGCCAACAAATCTCGTTGACGTATATAGCGAATGAGGAAGGTTTCCAACCGCAAGGCGCTCATTTACCGACCACGCCGGAAATACCGCCCCTTATCCAGAAGGCGCTCGATTGGATAGCTGCACATCCGAGCAAAGAGGACCAGAATCAGGTATAAAGGATAGTACGTGCGTCGTCAGTGATCTCAGCGAGTCTGCAATTCGATCCAATCCCTTTTGTACTACTACGGATTAAATTTTTTTTTTTTTTTTTTTTTTTTTTTTTTTTTTTTTTTTTTTTTTTTTTTTTTTTTTTTTTTTTTTTTTTTTTTTTTAACGATGAATCGCCCTCCGTCGTCGTCACCTCTTGCCGCCCGTTCTTCAAGCTCTAACGAAATGCGTATATCACTCTCTAATGGTTCAATATGTTTGTAAATAATTTATTGTATACTTTTTACGGACTCATATATTGTATACATTTATGCATTGTATATTGATATATCTTATGTCATTATTTTATATATATATAATAAAATATATATATATGTATCGTGTATATTGCGTGTATTGTAACGCGTCCAAACGCGACCACGTAGAATCACGGGTAACGAGCATGTAGATAATCGTTCCCGGACATTACGATGCATTACGGAATAAATGTTGCAATTCAAGTGATAATTTTGTCTTTATACCTAACCATTTATGACATTTTATAATTTTTTTTTCTTTTTTTTTTTTTCGTTAAGATATTTTCAAGAGGAAAGAGAAAGAGGAAATATATAAATATCAGTTTTATGAAACTTATGATGAACATTCTTTTTTAATATTCTTTATTTTTGATTATACAATTATTATATGATAATAATCGAAGGTAAGAATATCAGGAGAATAAGAATTGAACAAAAAATCTTTATAAATGTTTTGTGAATTTATTATAATTGAATTAAAATGCGCACAAAAATGCATAATTCTAGGACAATTTTAAGCTTCAACAATTTGTAGCACGATAATGCTCAACTTAAAAAAATATCGAATATCATGTCATAAAAAATGTCGAATATCATCTTTTGTTATAATTAAATTTTGTTTACATTCTTTGAACAAGAATAGTAGATAGTAAAAAGAATCCTATTAGAATATAAATTTTAATTATACCAATTTGTCAAACTTCTTCATGTTTTCTTTTAATTCAAATGAATGCAAATCCACTGCATCAATATATATACATATTTCATAATAGCAATATATACTTTAATTACAAGAAAAGGGATTTGCAAAAAATTTTAATCCATTTCTCAATGTTTTTTCATTCGTTTTATTTTTAATCTCTGTGATTAAATCTCGTTCAAGTAATCCGGATCATTTTTTACTTATATTCCTGGCAATATAAATGGCAGGATTATTTACTATAACCCAGATATCAACCACTTTTTGATTAAAGTGATTCAAGCATTAAAAAGATTTTTACCTAATAAAAGAAATAATAAATTAAAAAAATAATATAAACGATGTTGTATCAAGTAAATAAATTTCACAATATCGATAAGTTAAAAAAATCAACGTACAGATGCAACAATTTTATCCTGCTTGAAGAAACACAGTTGTCGAACAGTCAATGTTAACTTTAATCGTAACTTTATATCAAAGCAGTATTTATTCCTTGCCCGGAATTTATCTAGTTTGAAACTGTTTGGCCGGATCAAATATAAACGCAAATTGGATTAAGGCTAGTTTACAGTCGCTTTGGGTCACGACAGGTCAGTCCAGATGCAATCTAACAACTATAGAGATGCGCTGCAACTGCACGAAAACTTCGACTTCACCTTCTCTTCACCATTTACATTTCCTTCTTATTTACAATTCCATTCCAATTTTCTATTATTCAATCGAATTGTTACGTCAATAATTTTGTCTTAATCATGCAATGACTGATTCATATCCTAATATGATATTCGTTTTCCTTATTATTATATCATAAAATTAAATTGCAAATGTAAATTTCTTTGGAACGTTTAATTATATAATCTAAAACAATGAATCTTAATCTTTTATTATTTATTCATCGAACTTTTTTAAATGTTTTAAATTATGTATTCATCGTCTATTGACGATTAAAGATAAATTTTGTGGAACAGAAATCATCGTCAATAAGATTGCTTATTGACAATTTTGTTAATACTATTTGAATATATTATGATATATTTTTCTTTAAATACATAAAATTATATTAATTATATATAAATTATTTCTTTAAATACATAAAATTATATTAATTATATATATAAATTATTTCTTTAAATACATAAAATTACATTAATTAAATAATTTTCTGTCATCATAGATGGCCAAGATTAAAATTTAATTAAATGTGTACTATGTATATACATTTAAAATATTGTTCATCAATATTTAGTATTTATATTTGAAAGCGAATTTCAAATTTAGTTTCGTGCATAAGAACTTAAAAGTAGATATTTAAATCTATGAATTTTTTCGAAATTAGCTTAATCATAACTTGTTAATAAGATACAAAATTTAAAGTATATTTTAATGTGTCGTTCCATGGATTGAAAAAAATAAGTCATCATAGGATCAAATATGAAACAGAAATTTAGATTGATTCTTCGACTTTTCGAAGAATTTGATCCATTCTCGTTCGATCCATGCACTCTGTGGTACGTACTGATTTACGATAGAAAGTTTCAGCACGATGCGACATAGTACAACGTTTTAAGCACGTGCTCGTTGTAGACTCGGTTTGCCATCATTAATCAATTGTGATACCACGGACATAAAGGACGTCCTCGAGTAATTTATTGAAAGACGATGGGTGTACGGATAACGTGGACTCGTTTACCTTTCCTTGTATTTTCTTGTGAATAAAATGACAAATATATCGTATGAGAATTATCGAGAATCTCGTAGCAAGAGAAGGCTTGCTATTCATTTATATCGACTTGAAGGAAATTAAAAAAAAAGAAAAGAAATTGTTTATAAAGTAATTTACATTTTAACTTTATATTAATCGTAAAAAGAACTAATTAAAGAAAAGAATATTTTATATGATAATTAGTAATTATTCAATAGATAAATCTTTATTTCAATTTTTAATGAATTATTAAAAATTATTAGAAATTATTAAAAATATCTACAACCAAAAGTATTGAAGACATTATTTATCATTTGAAAGAATTATAATTGTATTCCACATAATTTTTTAATCAATAAGAATATTTTTAAAAATAATTATAAGAATCGTATTCAAGTATATTTTGTAAATTTGGAATAATGGATCTAGTTAATCATTAGAAAAAATATATAAAAATTTCTTAAATGTGTAATGTTTCAAAAAAACTACATTTGGTTTTAAAATGTTATGAAAAAATATCAAAGAGTACATATAAGAATAAAAAGTCATTATCTTAATTGTTATTATCAGTGATTTAATATATACATATATTAAATAATTAGCCATATTTTCTCAATGGAGTTGTTTTGCATTAATTTCACACGTTAATATCTTCCCCTTTGATGATGATTACACCTGAAACTTTCGTTGAACTTTCGCAGACGACAACATTATAGGTTTCTATTTTAATACCTGTAATATGTTTCACATTTACAATAGTATTATGTAATGCTTGATCGTTTCATCTTCTGTTGTCTGGTGGAAAATCATCTGGTGAAACTTTTATCTCATAACGATTGCCTTTTAGAGGAATCATTATAGTACTTGTCAAGAGACATAAATCATGCTTTAAACAAAGATGAATCGAATATATTTCGATAGTTTTCTAACACATAATAATTTTCCTCTTATACAATATCTTGAAATATTTTCTATTAAATTTAAATTAAAATACTGTGTAATAATATATAATTAATTATATTAAATTACATATCGAATTTTTATAGAGATTATATTATATTAACTAAAAAAAAAAAAACATTTATAATTAACTTTTGTATTTGTTTTGCTTACTAGAATTTCCTTTTCAAAAATAACTCATAAAGACATGCATTAATAAATGATGTATAAATAAGTATAATTTAAATACTTTAAAAAAATGCTATTTTTTATTTTTTATTTTCTTTTCAAATATTAAAATTTTAAAAGTGAAAGATCCAAGACTTTTTAAGAAATATATTATATGAAAGCATATAATATATCTTTCTTTATTATATGTTAATCGATATAATAAAAATTTTTGTTATTATATTATGATATTTTTGCATTCATGTTTGTTCAATGTAAATAACATTTATATATTATAGTATTCATTTCAATTATGTTTCTCCATGTTTATGTTTACACCAATATAATAAATTAACATTGGTTTAAGTATATTCTCTCTTTAAACATCTTCAAATTTTATGGACAGGAAGAGAAAATATATTTTTGTAAGTATAAGATTCTGAAAATAATCATTTGAATATAAGGAAGATATCGTCGAAAGAAGAACAATTTCTCTGTTCATTTCTTTATCAAGTATTATTGCATTCCGTTTCTTCATTGTGTCACAGCCCACGTTTAAGTATAAACGTGTCATCTCGGATCCACATCATAAACTACACTTTCTCCTTATCTCTCTTCTTTATTTTTTATTCAACTTCCTCTTAAACCGTATTTCTTTTTCATATCCTATCCTATATACTTGATTCTTATCGATATATATCATCGATATATGGATATAAAAAATATTTTATAAAAAGGAGTAAGTAATTATATTGATTTTTTATAGAAACAATATTAATTAATTTTTCGATATTTTTGTTTCTTGCATTTATAATTAATTTCAATTCCATATTTATTTAAACAAATATTAAATATAATGATATTTTTTAAATTTATGAATTTATGTTTTTTATGCATTTTTATTTCATTTTTTTATTCATTTTTATTTTTATTTCATTTTTTTATTCATCTTTATACACCAACAAGTTAATAATAATTAATTCGAAAATTTTAATAATAAAACAGCAAATTATATTAAATTTAATATGATTTAAATATTAGATCTATTTATAATATTAGTTTAATCTTTCTCCTATATTACTTCTGTGTTTCAATAATTCAAATCATAGAATCATAGAATTCTTGTTAAATATCTTAAATAATGTACTGGTAAATATTTATTACTAAATATATTAAATATTATAATTCTGCTGCAGCGCTATCTAAACGAGAATACATAATCACAGATTAAACGTATTAAATTTCGTCGAATAGCGCTATTCGTATTCCATTACAAATGAAATATCGATAATATTTGCAAGACTGAATTATGTATTTCGAGTTGTGATATTTGATAAGTATTATATATTATATAATTATTTATTTAAGAAAATATAATTATGTAATAAATATTATATAGAAAATATTTTAGCATAACAAAAAAAAAATTTTATCTCTAACATTTCTTATAAAGAAGTGAATTGCGTAATATTAGAAATTTATAAGGAAAAATAAACCAATTCTATGTTTCGAAAATGTTGTGCATATTTCATTATCAAATTTCATGAATTTTTAAAAGCAATGTGAAAATTTTTTATTTTAACAATAAGAATATGTTAATTTTCTTCTACTGTATATACATAAATATATTATAAGATAATAATTAAAAATTTAAATTTTCCATAATTTCTTCATCATTATGAATACATATAATAACATATTCCTATAGTTAACCTATTATTTTATATAAGCATATACTTCTACAATATGAAAAGTGAGAAAAAAAAGAAATATTAATGTAATATTTATAAGTTAAAACTACAAATTCATGAAACAATTGGTATTGGAAATTCACCAAATATGTAAATATTTAAAAACTAGTTTCTATATTTAACAATACTTCTACATAACACAAAAAAAGGAGACACAAAAAAAATTTAGAGAAATAGGTAGGTATCTAAAATTTTTTTAAATTTTTAAAACGAAATAATTCGATTATTTTTATTAAATAATATTATCAGATATATTACACAATACTATCAGACTACTATACTATATTATATATTACTAATACTATATTATATATTAGATCAATATAATTTTCTTTAATTATAATATATTTAATTTTATGATTTTCAACTATAATTTTAATTAATATTAAAAAATTTTTTATTATACATATATTATATTTATAAAACTTTTCTATACGTATGTATTTATTATACTTTCTTAAATAACTTTAGATACTTTCAAAAATTTTATGTCACATGCACATTACTTATATATATAGAACATTTCTATAGAAAATTTATTATACTTTTTTGACTGACTGTATGCATTATAACACTCAATTTTAATTACACGTAATACTAAATACATATATAAATTTACTTACATTCATAAATTTTTTCCATGAAAAGTGTTCAAATATGTATTTATTAAACTTTCCAAATCAACTTGTATGTACTACAATCATTACAGCCACACTGTACGCTCTTCCTCAATGGGTAATGCAGGTAACCGCAGAATGATGGAAAAAATGGCAGCAAACTTATGACACTTAACTATTTCCGCACAGCGCTTAAGACGTGCGTCTTAAGTCTATTTTCATTGCCGGTGCACAGGCAATTTAGCGAAACAATTCGTAAATAGGCGTAAAGACGGGGGCGTGCTGTTTCCTTGTTTACACGAACAGATGGTTTTCCGCGTCTACCAAGGCGTGTGTAATCCAAACGAACGAGGACAAGCTATGCAGCTGGTGCAGCGACCAACTTTCGTACTCTGACGCTTACGCAATATTTCTCTGTCTCCTTCGCCGCAACGACAACCTTCGACCTCACGACTTTCGTGGTATCGTGTTCCATCTGTCGCGAGCTATTTTGCCTGTAAATAGATCGCGGCCGAAATCCGCGCGTTGTTTCGCCGAGATTCCAACGCCTGTGACAAGCCGCAGGGCTGACATTTCCCTTTTTCTTTCGTATTTCTCGTTTCTCATGAACCAAAAACGAATCTTGTACTATGGTGTGACGTTAAATTAATTATGATACTATGATTAGATCTTAAGTCTTTGATTTGTCTTGGACTCTGAGAAAAATTTATTTTTTATAAATTATTGATAGATGATAGAACATGTTAATTATGATACATAGATACACATTTAGTGAATGATAATTGTTATTGTAATCTATTATTAATTTACGTGGTTTTTTGATATTTTTTAATGGCTGTATTTTGATGTTGTTTTAAGATATAAAATATTAGAAAAAATACTTAATATTGGATAAAAATATATTAATTTCGACGCTAGGAGTATAAGAGTTAATAAATGGTTAATTTTTTATTATTCTCTTTTATTTTGTTTCTTATTATTAGTAGTACAATAGAATCTCCATTATTCAAAATGTATCGTTCATTATTTGACTATTCTAATATTTGAATATTTTATTAATTGAAAATTTTATATATATATATAATTCTACTAAAATTAAAAAATATTTCTAAAAAAACTTTCATTTTTTTTTTTCACTAATGATAATGATCTTTTAATATCTTAAAAGATGAAATATAAAATCCAGCTATATCACATTATGAAGATAAAATTTTTATAAAAATTAATAAGTAACAAACATAATACTATTAGGAAGATGAATCTTTAATTAATCTAAATCTTTACTCTGGAGTTAAGATGTGTGATATGTGTTTAGAAAGTATATTTATAAATTTAAAAAGCGTCAAGAAATCTTCTTTATAAATGCCATTTTGTAGGATCGTTTGAAGAAAACGAAAGGAAAATATTTCGTTAGAATAGAATTAAAATATTATTATGGCGCAGATATTTACTCAGGTGCCAGTTATTTTTAATTTTAAGTTTTTTAATCGTACTATATGATAATTTACAATTACGCAAATTAAATATTAATAATATTTAATCACTTTCAATAATCAATGACTTTATATGAGTAAATAAATTATTTATTGTTCCCATAACTTATTGTTAGATAAGTACATATTTAAGATACAATTCTTTTTCTGAAAGTAATAATTTATAATTTGAATATAAAATATTTATTGTTAGATTATATTAAAATATTGTATTTAAATATAAAAAATAATAATTATATTTAAATTGTATTTAAAATATAAAAAATAATAATTGTATTTAATAATAAAAAATTGTATTTAAATAACATTGCAAGTTCTACCGATTCTAATTATATTAAAATAATTTAAAAGCATTTATTTTTTTCATATTTTCCAATATTTTTCTTTCTTATTATATTAATTTTATTAAATTTTGTTAATTTTGTGATTACATGATTGTAATACTTATAAAAAACACTTTTTTTATAATTGAATACTTTTAATATACATATTGTTAAACATATAGATTTATTTCGAAAATTAATATTTCATGTTGTTTCTTTAGAATTAAACTTCCATATTTTTTTTATAAAATAACAATTTCTAGCTCTTTCAATATTTATCTTAATGCAATAATTTTTTATAAAAATGTTAATGCATCAAAGTTTATCATTATTCACAAATGATCCATAAGATTTAAATAATGATAAAACTTGAAAAATAATATATCATTTTGCATTAATTATTTTTTTGTTTCTTTTTTTCGAAATTTGATTGATGAATATTTTGAATAATACTAATATCTACATTAGAGATTTAATGATCATTAAATCATAGATGAGACGATTAGTTTAACCGGACTCATGAGTAATATATTTCACTTATTACAATGCATGACAGTGTGTTTAACAAAATTCGAAATGTGATTAATGATTGCATATTATGATTAATGTAAAATTCATAAGCTTTATGAACTTGCTTAATAATTATCATTTATAATAATCAGTATTTATGATTAATAATTAACCGAAATAATCGAAATTAATATAATCACAAGATATAATTAATTTAATAATTGTTAATCATTGCATGATTAAATGTTTTGTTATGATTAAATAATTAATAATACTTGATAATCAGTTAAACAAATAATACTGAATCATTTTTGGAATATATGTATATGTTATTATTATTACTATTATTTTTTACAATAGATATATAAATATCTATTGTAAGTTTATAAATAGATATTGTACTATATTATATATATTACGTTTGTTATGTTTATAATTGTAATATATGATTCTTTACAATGCCAATCATTTATATCTTTATTAATTAATAGAATTGTTCAATTGTAAATGAATATTTCTATTATTATGTAAAAAAAAATGATTTTTATCTAATTTTAGCAAAAGATTGATGATACTAATATATCACATGAATATTATTTTAGTACGTAACTTTTTTTTATTATTATAATATCATATAATAATTTATTTACTATTTAATTATCTTTATGTATGAAAACTATGTTATTCACGTTATAACATTTTCTATCAAAATATTTAGTTTAAATCAAATTAATTAATGATAAAGTGAGATCTATATAAAAAATTTTAAATATCCATTCTATTTTCCACGTAATTGAATAAGATTGAATAAGAAACCCTTGAACATTCTTTCAAAATTACTTTATTACACAAGATAAATCACATGTAATATATCATCATCATCATTTACATCAGTTCTGCATATACATATAATTTTTCAATTCAAATATAAACTGTTAACGAGGGAATGTAACATAGAGAATTAATAATAATACAAATCCACTAATGTTTAATATGAACGTATTTAAATTTATTGTATCTTGATTTTTACAAAATTACGATACTATCAAATATAATCTATACAAAATTCACAATACTTGCATCTCTCGTATAATAATTTAATTTACTCGTGACACGACAATGATATTTCGATAAAATTTTTTCACTTCAATTTCTTCTTTCGAGTAAATAAACTTTCCCAAAAGAAGAAATACGAACTCTCAACTGATTTTTTCACGTCATAAAGATGAAACATTGAAAACTACAATCTATTCTTTTCTGGATTAGCAGCTATCCAGTCAAGAGCGCGTTGAATGAGGACTGGCACCGGTTGCGTGGGTGGTGGAGTTGGCAGATGCGCCCCTTGAAAAGTGGCGCCATTTTCGTTGGCCAACCAGTCAACGTTAATCCTCGTTCCATCTGGAGCCGTCCACGAGGCTGATCCATGAACTTCCTCGGCTTCCGCATCTTTCTGCCCGCGATTCTTCAGGACACCCTCCTCCTCGAAAATGATGCCATTAGCGCTTTCCCATTTCGAGTGAAAACTACCATCCGGGCTGATGTCTTGGTTCTGTCTGACGATGGCGATCGGTTGGTCCGCGGCTAACACCATGGCCATTAAACTTAATATGCAAATTGTGCGAAAATACATGGCGCAATTCTATTCTGGAAAGATGTTTAAAAGGTTTTATTATTTTTATATGGTAATATAAAATTATTGTTATTTTTAAAATTAACTTATCAAGATATAATATTATTTAACAATTTTATTGTTATAGAATATTAAAGGGTATAAAGTTATTAACGTAAATAAAAATTGAGAAACTATTTAAATTTGTTTTATATTCTTATTCAAAATTCATAGGATAGTTTATTTTATTTTAATTTTATTCAAAAATAATATGTACATATTCAATATCCATAATAATTGAAATGAATAAGTTTTATTATGAATAGAAAATATGATTTTTGAATGAAAATATACATATAGGTTTAATAAATATTATGCAAGTAAGAAAGTAATAGAATAATTGATTTTGAAGCAAACATTTTATGGTTTTTAAGTGGAGATATATAAGATGTTAATATATTTATATAGTTATTTTTAAAGAATCGATTCTAACGGTTTTTATCAATTTTTTTCAATTTAATCAATCCTTTATATGTATTTATACTTTGTATATAATCATTTTTATAAGATTCTTTATAGAAATATATAATTTATTAATAATTCATTATGTAAATTTATTTTTAAATTTTTATAGAAAAATTATTATGTATTTATGAAAAAATCAAAATTAATAAAAAGACAAATAAATTTTTGAATAAACAATTTGAACTTTTCAATATAATAATTTATTAATTAATAACATTAAAATTTATTGACAAATATATTACAAATGTAGAATATCTTTTCTTATGAGTTAAAATTTGCAATTAATTAATTAATTAATTAAAATGTTAATTAAAATGTTTTTGTTATCACAAAAAAATTTCTTATAATATTTATCGTTTTTAAAATATAATTATATATTAATTATATAATGTATCATATGTAAGAACACTAATTGAATTATGCAAAAATTATATTTAGTTAGATTAGATTAAGTTTTTATTTATATAAGTCTATTTTTTTCCCATCAAGTTCGTATAAACTTTATATATAAATAATCAAACTTTTTTTACTATATCACAATTCAATAATAATATTCATTCTTATTCAAATAACAGAAATTCATACAGAAATTCTTCATTCAATTAATCCAAATGAATTCACATATAATCATAAATGATTTCCACTTGAAAGATTCTTTCATCGATTAACAGCCAAGCATCTCGTTTCAAATGACAAGTGACCAATCATAAAATCATCTAATCTGTCTATCCGTTAACGTTCATTAATTCATCACGGTTAAGCTCGTTTTATTAAAACGCAATGATTAGATTAAGCGCAGTAAAATGACATAAGTAGATGGCAACGATATGCGTGTTAATCAATGATCGATTGTTCGTGTAACAGATCGATTTAAGATAGATATCGATAAAAGCCTATCGATTATACCCAAGTTATTAATTCTAACCTCGACTTGCGAATTTCCAGATAGCGGGTACAAAATCCTACTAGCGGGGACATCTCTATCGCCTCCACCTTTTATAGTACGAAGTACTCTCTGCTATCACCGACATTTTCCATTCAAATGTCATTCGGTGATACCGGTTCAACCTTCGTATGACCGGTATCATGCGTTGAAGGTACCTTCCCGCAGTTGGATCAGAGAGACGAACAACCTGTAATCAATCCGCGCCTACATCGTCAATTAACTGTTACCTGTTGGTACGTTATAAATACGTAACTTGTGTATCGTACTATAAATATACGAAACTGGCCGACACTGGCAATTTCGAGAGCATTAAGCGGTGAATGAACGAGTTATTTATTCGTGCTTAAAGAGATTGGATATCGAGGCATAATCATTGTGTTAACGTTAACATGTTCATGCAAGAAAGGAAAATTTTTTTTCTCGTATACGAAATAATTTTTGTTTATTGATACGACAACGTGATTATGTAACTTTTCGAAATTGATGTATTGTAATATATGTGTATATATGTATATTACATAATGTATTAATAATGTATAATATATGAGAATATATCTGATGTATAATTACAGGAAACTTACTTTAACTTTTTAATTTAACTTTTTAATATAATAAAAAAAAAATAAGATAAAAGAAATAAGATAAAAAGAATATAATATAGAATATGTATATAATTACAATAATACGATAAAATATTAATATGTAATATAATATTAATCATAGAATATTATATATATGTTGTAATTTTTTATTTTGATTTATTCTTTAAATAATATATAGAGTGATATTAATTTATATTACAAATAGCATTAGAAAGATTATTTTTTAATATTTTTTTCAAATAGATAATTAATAATATTATTAATTAATATTTGGTTAAGAATTTTATTAAAAAGTGCTATCATTGTCAATAGATAAAATTAGAATTCGATTATTCACTGAAAAAAAATCTTATTAAATAAAGAAGTGTATAAATGAAATAAGCAAACAATTTCTAATTTTACATTATATTCAAAAACAATCACACTAACGCTTTGTAATGAAATTGAATGAATAAGATCAATTATAATATATATTATATAATATGTAATATATGATAAACAATCTGACTTTTTTATTTTTGATTTTTAAAAAAATCTGAAAATGTTCTGAAATATAAAACATGGAATGTTTAAAATTTTTTGTTAAAGAAAAATTAAGTGTTTATTCAATTAATTTTTAATTTTTATATTTTTCTTGAAAATGAAGCCTTTCAATTTTTATTTTGATTATCATTTTATTTCAATTATATTAAATACAATTATATTAAATACATCATTACAAAAGTAAATAACATCTATTTCTAATATCTCTATGCAAAATAAACAATATAAAAAGATTTTAATAATTAACATTTTCATGCAAATTGTTTTAATATAACCATATAATTTATCTACACATCATTAACATCGTTATTGAGGTAATAATATACATTATGATGATATACAATGACAAAACATTATAAGGCAAATAATATTCTTAAACAGGTTTATATATTTTTTTTATGCTTTTTGCTGTAAATATCATAAATAGAAATATAACAAATAAAAATAGTATAAAATAATTTAATTATTAAATCTTATTACAAGATTACCACTTAATAATAGTTAAGAATAATTAAATTGTCAATTTATGAATTTAATTTATAATAAATTATAAATTATAACCGTAAATTATATATATTCTTTTTTACAATTTTATACATCAAATAAAATAATTAGACAACAATTTATAAAATTTATTTGTAAAAGTTCATGTGTTTATTGAACTTACAATTGATACCCAAGAAATTTAATTTTCATTAATATCTTTAATAAAACCATTAATACCTTTTATAATATTTATATAATACACATTTTAATTTTATTTCTTGAATCGTTTTATATTTTAATAATTTCATTCCATAATTCGAATAAGTAAACATTTTATTATTTAATTTATGTAATTGTTCGATGGTACAAAAATTAATTCTCATTTATTTTAAAATCATATTATTCAATGAATAATTTTAATAAAACTGTCTGCTAAATTTTATGAACAATTTATTTTGAAATATAAAAATTAAATTTAAAAATATTTTATTTTTTTTATGATACAAGTTTAATCATGAATGTTTATAATTATAATATATAATATAAAGAGATTTATGATGAAATAATATATTCTAGATGAATTTATTGTTATAATTAGCAATAATACTTGATATACAAATAGTCGAAATAAATCATATTGTACAGATTACTTTATTTATTTATTTTTTTTATTACTTTTATGAACAATTGGCCATATTTTCTGATATGGTAGGTATACAAATAAAACAAGTTTTTGCTTTTATATTTTCCTCTATTCTACTATGATAGATGAACAAATATATCAAACATTTGATTTTACAATGTGAGTGATCTAAAATCAAAAATTTATATATTATTGTGAAAAATCAAACATATTCCATCGTTCACTATAATATATATATGTATGTATATATTATATATGTGTATATATAATATATGTAAAATTAAGTATGTTTTTAAATTTCAAAATATGATAATATAAAGATTAAGCTTATAATAATATTTGAATAGAATAATAACATGATATAGTAATAACAACGAACAACATGTCACTGTAGAAAATAAATTGAATGATGAATCATAACGCTTAAGGGGTTAATAAATAAGGTTAAAACACTTTAATATACAATACTTTCAAAGATCTTCAATCACACGAATATAATTAACACCTCATATATATTCATTATTTATTCATAACATGTTATAATCTTATAATTCTATAAAATACATTAATATTTTTGTCAAATTCCTTACGCTTCTTTTATTAAATTATATATTTTCCAGATTAAATCTATTTCTTTGATATTTTGTAAAATATAAAAAATATAAAAAATTCTTTATAAAACGCTCTACAAACATTTATAAAAAATGTATTTAATAGATATAAGCTTTTACCAGAGTATATTCTTTTATTAAAATTTATATACATCATTGTTTGAAGAGCACGTGTATCTTAAGGAAGAACTTAGCAATAATGCACGAAAATAATTAATCTAGCAATGTTATAGTGACTCTTGTCATTTTTTCACTCAATCGTATTTATAAAAAAAAAATGATCTGTCATGGAGAGTTCTAATGAACGAAATAAGTGACTTTTGAATAATTTTGTACAACGTATTATATTGTTCCAAAATGTTAGTCAGGACTTTTCATTACGACAAGTACCATCAATCATCTCTTTATTTGAATGTTCAACACATTTTAAATGGGAAAAAGAAAAAGATTTAAAAAGCATATATTTTCTTCAAAGTTTGTGTGATAACGATGGGTCAATGCCGAATGAATCACGGTCCTAAGATGGTTATTAGAAATTTTGTAATTGTTTCACGACCTTTATGATTTTAACTATCGGTTTGCGTGCTTGGAATGATTTCAACCAGTCTTTCGAAACTTCTGACAAACTTAAATTATGTAGGATCCTAAGGAAAGAAGTGTTAATTTTCGATGAGCTGGAAGAAAAATTTTTAAGAGATATGATGAAAGTTAAGATGGGTTATCAAATATAACGAGGGAATATTTAGAAAATATGATAATCATAAATAAACGATTCGTTAAAATTCATAATTTAGAGTAAGAGAAAGAAAAAAATATCAAAATCTAATAACTTTTTAATTTGTTGTTTAAATTAATTTTTATTTATTATTGTTTTAAAAATCATTCTTCTTTAGTTTTAGAACTTTTTTTCTATTTTCGTGCAATTTGTTTCCTTAACTTTATTTATATTTGCTAAAAAATTAAAAAATAATAAAAAATGATTATAAGAAGGAAGACTGTCAAATTTAAAAAAATTAAATACTAGATAAAAAATTAGATATTAAAATTATGAAACTCAAAAAACTTTCTCTTTGTGATTAAGTTATCAAAAATTATGAATCTATTAAATTTAAAAAAAATGAATATTAAATAAAAACATTAAAACGATATTTATCCCTATTTATATTAATTCAAAAATCTTGCAAAATACCTTTACTATGTCATCACACCTATAAATATTTAAGAATATCTTGAAATTTCATAAAAAATGACATTGAGAAAAGAAATTTTATAATATGTTATATGTGCCCTTTCAAGCAATTAAGTAAGATTATCCCGAAGATATTTTTCATAAAACTTTAAACATCAGGAACATTTGCATGTTTCTATTTAAATGATGAATCTTATGTAATATAATAATAATAATAATAATTAATAATAATTATAATATAATATAATATAATATATAATTATAATATAATATAATATAATATATAATTATAATATAATATAATATAATTATAATATATAATTATAATATAA